GTGTGTGTGTGTGTGTGTGTGTGTGTGTGTGTGTGTGTGTGTGTGTGTGTGTGTGTGTGTGTGTGCTGAAGGTCAACAGACGATCATGCTAAGCTTGCTAACTGTTCCACCCTCTGACTGCTGCAGGGGCGTGTCTTAGAGAGAGGCTTTTATACCAGAACACAGCCGCTGTGAAGAAACTGTGCAGAACCACGTCACCATGGAGAGCCGTTAACCAATATGCAAATTAGCCTGCAGTACCACTGCTCTACCCATATGAGCAGCAAAAAGATGTTTTTAGACCAAATATTACAGATTTGAACAAACACACACAAAAACATCACAATTAGCACAGAAACAGTACTATATAATATTTTAGACACATTCTAGACAGTTTATCAGCTAAAAAAAGTTAATTTTGGGGTAAGTTACTCTTTAAGTACAGTAACAAAGTATTTGTACTTAGTTACTTTACAACTCTGGTTGCAATCAGGATGCTTTGAAACTGTCCCTGAAAAAGTTTTTTTTTCTAAGTTTCAGCTTTAAGTCACCCACTATTCTCCAACAGTCAACTTCCCTTAACAATTTAAAAACCAAAAGGATCCCTCTGGATAATGAAGGACATGCTGGATCTGGGCTTTATGAACCCATCTCTAACTAGAACTATGGAAGACAAGTTGAGACAGATTTCATACTTTCTTTGAGAAAATTTGTCTCGCTTTTTTTTTTTTTTTTTTTGCGTGTTCAGAATGTAAATGTCTTCAGAGATTCCGAGACTTGCATGAAGAAACAATCCGAGACATTTTAAAGAGAGTCACAGCCAAGGCAGATACATCTTGGATCACGGATCTGCAAAGTGCTTTAAGGGGTGCTGGTTGTGTGAGTTTAGCTTTAGCTTTGGTATTTCAACACTAAGTGTGCTTCTACAGTAAAACTCCGTCAAAACCTCAAACTGTTTTTCAACTTTGTGGAAAAAAAAATTATTTTCCTTTCTTTCCTTTTCCTTTTCCTTACTTTAGAACTGATTCTAATCTTCTCTTCTGTATTTTGATGTTTGTTGTTTCAGGCCAAAGAAAGCATTGAACAGCTGGTTTATCTCTGCCAGACAGATAAGGAGGAAGTTCGAGATGCTGCCAAACAAACACTGCTGGATCTGGGTAACGTTAGCTGTCATATTGTTTACAGCAGCTTGATGAGTCAGGTCCTGCACATCTGTTTTGGACAGGCTATAAAATAAAATAAAAATGATAAAATATAATGCAAGCAGAGACAAGATTGTGTTCCAGACCAGACCGGACTGAAGAGGACATGAACCGTTATGCTAATGATTTTTAAAGCGTCTGTAGCATCAAATTTTTGTAACAAATAAGAACTCGTTTTTGGAAAAATAATGTTAAAAACATACTTTAAAAAAGGGAAAAATGTGAGGCCACGGAGGTGAACAGTTGTTTAAATATTCTCATATGAAGTGACAGGAAGTGATGTCACAGGGGAATATCTGTGTGAGAACAGACAGTAACTAACAACAGACTGTGGAGAAAAATCTGATGTTTCTTTAGATTATTTTGAATCATCATCAGAGAGACATGAAGAGACGGAGTTCAAACAATATTGTTTCAATAAATAAAGACCAGAGAGTTCCTTGTCTTAAAGCAGGGATATCCAAAGTATGGCCCGGGGCCGTTTGTGGCCCCTGAACTGATTGTGTGTGGCCCCTGACTTCAGTTCAAGATTTATACTAATTTATTTATGAATTTATCCTCCTGGCACAGCTGTTTGATGTAGATGCAGACTTTCTGTTTATTATTGGGGCAAATTTATCACAAAGTAAAATCTTTAAAAAAAATATTGGCAACAATACCGATTATTTGTCTTTAAATAACCAGACTTTTTCCACATATATCTAGTGACTTCTACTGAAAAGCTGATTTTGCTGCACTCCAATCATGCTTTTAATTAGTTTATTAAATTTGTCTGATTACAGCAAGCATTTTCAACAAAAGCGCGACCTAAATTCTGATTTTATTGATCAGAATTGACTAAATCAGGTTATTTTTCATCCCAATTTAAACCTAGAAAATTACAAAAAAATTTCAGTAAGGGAAACCTGCAAATTAATTAATCTAGATTAATTTACGTATCCATTTCCAGCAATAAATCTGACTACTTTATTTGTTTAATTAAAGTATTCAATGTTTAGTTTATTGTTGAACAGGTAAAGGAAAAATATTTTTGGCCTTCAGGTTCTTCTGACTTTATGATTTTGGCCCACTTGACAAAATGTTTGGACACCCCTGTCTTAAAGAGTTCCCCTTTGATGTCACTTCCTGTTTCACGCTGGTTGAACCAAAATCAAAAGAAAATCTGCCAGGTATGTGGCAAAAAGGGTAAAATCGTGTGCTTAACACCAAGTTTCTTGGGAACACAAAAGAAAACGCAGTAGAACAACCCATGTGGAACACTCGATGCTCCAATGATTTCTAGACAGACTCTAAAGGGATTATATGAGCTAAAACAAAGAGCTGGGCAAAACGAGACAAGGTGCAGGTGAGAGTGGGCGTGGCAAGACTGAGGAGCAGGAGCTGAGGAAACTGATGACACGAATAAAATTCAAAGAGACCTGATTAAAAAACCTGAATTAACAGAACTAAATAATCATAAACAGAAAAAGTGATCGAACTATACAAATATTAAAATGTATTTTTATTTTTTTATAGTTTTGTCTTCCAAAGATGCCTTTCAAACATTTTAAATTACGTTTTTCTTTTGTTTTCTGTTTGTCGTGTGGAGCAGGTGAAGAAGGAAAGATGGCCCACAGACACGTGGAGATTTCTCAGGACATCCTACCGAGTCTCTTTGCTCCAGGAAGCATGGCCAGCACAGCCTTCTGACTGAACACCGTCTGTCTGCTCTGAGCTGCGTGGATGATTAAACCCCACTGACTGAATGTTTCAGACTTAAAAAATGTCTGTTTGTAACATAAAACAAAACCCTGTGCACTTGGACATGTTCCAAACAGCACACCATTTCTGGATTGGATAAGATCAGCTGAGGTGTGGACACATCATGGAGCAGATCTGTTGGTGCTGTCTGATATTCTGAGGCCTCAAAGAGCGCAGCTTTCACACTGAAAGTCGGTGTAGCAACCAAAATCACTGTTTGATCAATCTGAATATTTCTGTGCATATGCGTGTTTTTGCACACTTTTCCTTCAAACATCCCAAAGAGTGTTGAACAGAGCACACAGATGCCTCTACTGACATGTCTGCACCTTGTTGACCCAGGGGGTGGAGCTAGACTTCTTTGCAAGGGATGGCCAAAATGTTTTTTCACAACAGAGTATTAGGGCCACACAACGGGGGTTTTTTATTATTATTACGAGATTAAAGTTGTAATTTTATGAGAATAAAGTCATAATATTATTAGACTAAAGTCGTAATATTACGAGAGTAAAGTCATAATTTTACGAGATTAAAGTCGTAATATTACAAGGGAAAAATGTCATAATCATGACATGTCTATTTCTCGTTCCTCATTTCCTCCTTATTTTCCTCACATGCTGTGTACAGCCATGTCTTTGTGTTTATAAAGTAGTCCTCGATGACTCGGGTCACTGTTAGATTAATATGCTTTTAACCAAATTAGCTACATGGCGACTAAATCTGTCAATGCATCCATTAATTAGAGCTTCAGTTTATAGTCGTTTGCACAATTTCCAAGTCCTGCTAATGATAATTTGATGCTAATGTGCTAAAAGATTAACTATTTATTTATAGAATTACTAAAGAACAACTTGACAAGTTGCTCAACAATGCTCATTTTAATGCAGGTAACGGCATGCGTTTTCAAGTAAAGGCTACAATATTATGACTTTTCTTGTAATATTATGACTGTAAACTCGTAATATTCCAACTTTAAACTCATAATATTATGACTTTAAACTTGTAATTTTATGACTTTAATCTCGTAATATTATGACTTTATTTTTATACGACTTTAATGTCGTAATGTTATGTCTTTATTCTCTTAATTTAAAAAATTTAAGAAAAAAATCTCGTTGTGTGGCCCTAATACCACATCGTATTTTTTAGTGGTGCACATACGTACAAAGAAAGAAAATCACTGGATTTGAAAATCCAAGATGGCTGCAACAGCTAATTCCAATTGACTATAATTCAGCTGTTTTAAGAAAAAATGCTGAAATGTCGTGATCACATGCGGAATGCTAGCAAAAATAATTTATTTAGCTATTTGTAGACAGAAAGTTGAATATTAGTGTAGAAGTAGCCAAAAAAATATCAAAAATTCAAGATGGCCACCAGAGAAAACAGCTATAATTCAGCTATTTTAAGACTTATTGAAATGAAATTTGCTGTGGAGTAGCTAAGAGTGATCACATGCTGATTCCTGATGCTAATCCTAAATAAAGCTAAACTCTAATGCTAATGCTAATTTTACAAACTGGCCCTTTTTAACACACTGCTGATAATTGATATAGCACAGCAGTATCAGAGAACAGTCTAAATATAAATCTAAATACAAAATCCACGATCCCCACACACGTGTCAAATATTTGGGGGTGCACCTGAGGTGGCCATCATCACTTGCCACTCCTCTGGCTCCGCCCCTGTGTCGACCTGAGGAGTTATCACTGCTCTGAATTAATTTGCTGATGTGACACAGTTAGACATTTCCCATTCATTTAATGCACCAAAGCTGTTTGAGTGTTTACATCTAAACCACATGAAACCTTTGGACTGAGGTTGTTCCCATCATTTCTGAGGTTTTTGTAAGATGTATGCAGTTAAATGTTTATCTGTTGGGTTTTAAACCATGAATAGTGAAAACATGTTTTAAAACGCCTTGAGTTTAGAAAACTAAGTGTTGTCATACTTGGGTGTACTTCATCAAGTATCAATACTTTTTAGTTTCATAGAGTCGTGTGAAAAGGTTTGTGTGGAGGTAAACACATTTAGTGATTTTACACCTTTTCATGCCGTTTGTTTTCAGACAACCTGAACCTGACATTTAAATGTCAAAATAACTGATAACACAAAGAAGAAAACAAAGCACAGGAAGGGTTGAGTAGTTGGGTAATTAACATTATTTATTAGGAAGTAGGGCTGCAGCTAACGATTATTTTAATAATTGATTTATCTGTTGATTATTTTTTCGATTAAACGCTTAATTACATGAATATGAGTAGATATAAATTAAGTTAACTCCTTAAGGATGCAAGTTATTGATAATGAATTAATCTTAACTTGATTTATCTTATAGATTGATTAACAATTAATTGATAAGCAGCCATTTTAATTAAAACCAGTTTTCTCTTGAATCAAGAGGGTCTTCCCATAAAATGAAGGATTTTTTTATTATCTCCCAAAATAAAAAACAGAAGCACATAATACATACTTTAACAATTTATTTTGCCAGCTGTATTAAATACTGACTGAAAAAAGTGTTTTTCTCCTGCATGAAACATAACAGAAATTTAATAGGTTGCTGAATGAGGAAAATAGATTAAAATAATAAAATATGATTTTTAGATGTAAAACTATTATTAATTTATTATAATTAGAATTTATTTACATTTAACGTTAATTTTTTCTCTAATTCTTTACTTTTTGTTTCATTCTTGTTGGTTCTGTTTGACTAAAACATTGTTTGACCCTAGGGCTGCCACAAACGATTATTTTTATAATCGATTAATCACAGATCATTTTTCGATTACTAGTCGACTGATCGGATCATACATTAATTGAATATAAAACATACAGCTTATCGTGCCAGAATGCAGCTGCTATTATAAAACCATCATTAGATTTTAGCTATATGCTAACTAAAAATAATTGCTGTGGAAGRYAAGTTCTGCTCTGCAGATATTRYACAGGTTTCTCTTTCATTTTCTTAAAATGATCCCACACTTTGAGCTCTGTTGTCAGGTAGCCATGATACCAGAGTCTGTCTGTATAATGTCTTGTGACGTCCACGGCCTACCCCAGTTACCACTACTGTGCATGTGTGTCGAGGACAGAAAGGCAGATGTGGCAGTGGAARGTGTCAAAGCAGTTTGGAGAAAATAACAAAGAACAAAAAAAGGAAACGATTAATCAATTATTAAATTAGTCATCGATTATTTTAATAAACAATTAGTCGTCGATTATCAATTAATCATTCCCATTAGGAAGGACTATTTTCTTTGGCGAATGATTTGGCACCACATTCCCTGCGTATGCCTCTGCTGGGTGACAGAATGCTTTTTCTCCTAATCATGAAATAAGATTTCAGTTTTAGCTTTTATTTTCTCATTTTTCAGTAATGTCTCGTCTTCGCAGCAGGTTGGACTCTTTGTTTGTTTTGATGAAAGTCACTTGCTGCTTTCTTTATGATTAACTGAACTCTAAGTCTGTGTTGCTCTGTGTTTGTCCTGTACATCAACAGACTGAAACAATCGAACAAAAACCATCTCAGCTCAAATTCAGTCCGGCGCGGTGTTTAGTTTAGACAAGGTTTAACTCTTTTCCTGACTTTAATAGGACAGCTGGACCGTCCGTCTGACCCGAGCCTCTCTGCTCTGTGCTTAAAAGTTCTGATCCCAGGTGACCTTCAGTTCAGGCTCTGGTGTTTTGTTCAGGAGGAACTACTGGTGCCATCTTATCCCTGACATGTTGGTGCTGCAGTGCCTTTTTAAACTTCACAGATTTATATTTTAGTTTGTAGTTTACGTTGGACGAGCAGAGTTAATATAAAGTGCCAAAACCACCTGTTTCTAATGAATGCCTTTAAGGGATTCAGCTTTTTTTTTTTTTTTTTACACGAAGCCAGTGTATTCTGAGCTGGAGAATAAGGGAGTGGAGACAGACAGATAGTTAATGTTTTTTTTTCTGTTTGGAACTTCTCACTGTAATGTTTCTGAATGACAGCAGACATCTGTAATCATACCTCTGCATGCACACTCTCACTGTTAGGAAGTGCCTCATTTAGATTCATTAAACAACAGATAACACTGTGAAACTAAAATATGCATGTATACGTTTTGTTTCGTAAGCAATTCAAATTGTGCAGAATTAATGCATTTTTTTCTAATATATTTCCAGAAAGTATTGTGTCAAATGTATGCAATTTATTAAACATTTATTGTAAAGATTGTTTGACGCTTTTATGTGACTTCATGTTCTGCAAAAAGCACACAGTCTGTGAGTTTACACCCAAAACAACAAGAAAGAAACTGCATAAGGCAAATAATCAAACAAAAATCAAGGAGGCATAAAAGTATAATCAGGCTAAATCATATTTTATGGTAATAAAGATCATTTTTGGCCTGATTTGTTTTTAACTAACTTTAAAGAACTAACTTAAATGATTCTGCTAATATTCATGTAGGGCTCAAGCTTTCTTAATTTTATTTTCTTTTTAGTTAACAAAAAGCCCCTTTTTATTAACTGGACTGTGTTCCACCGAAAAAGAGGATCTGAATTGTCCACCTCACTGTCACCAAACATACAATCATTTGCATGCACTTTAAATATTTGCCTATAAATAATTTTAGATCAATTTAATTTGCTTTGTTCACTAAAGAAAGAATGCCATTTAAAATGCATTCCCCTTACATTTAAGTAAACATATTTTAATTTGATTAATATTGCATTTGTAGGGTCATTTTCTGTCCCACGTGTGTCTCACATGATTAACTTATTGAAGAATCTTATTGAGAACTGAATATTGAATTTCAAACTTCACCCAGGTTATTTACCTTTGACATATATGTATTTTCTTTTATTTAAAACATATGTATTGTTCAAGTTATATTTGTGATTAGTTTCCATTAGAGAAGACCAGCAGCATAAATCATTGGAAGGCCCAGCTGAAACTCGTGTGTCACTGTGAATGATGGGCGTCACCGGAGCGCCCCCTGCTGTCCAATCAGAGGGCTTACAAAGGTTTCGACACCACCCCCCAGCGGCCGCACAGGCGCACTGAGCCCTCAACTGCCATTTTGTGGAATAAGCTACTCTGCTGAAGCGGGAGAGGAAATAAAATAAACTGCGGAGAAGACTGCACTTTTTTTACACGTCAAACTTTGTTGCTCAGACTCTGTGCTTTCAGCCGGGTTCACCGGGAGAGAAAACACAACAAAAACAGGTAAAGTATCACTACTTTTCTGACAAGGGGGGAGTTTGCAGGATCTTTATTCGGCCTCTAGGTGTCACGATGGGGCTCTACGTCCTGGTAGCTTCCCGAAGAGTGTTTGTCTCCCTCTATCGTTTTTAGAAAATCCGTCGAAATGTGTTTAAATATCCGTGGGTGAAGCAAATGTATTGTTAGACTAACATATGTAATGAACATTTGTAATAAAATAAAGTGGATTATTTGCCAACTTCGCAGAGAGAGATCAGACGGAGGCGTCCATTTTCTGTCGTCTTTGTCTCGTCTTTTACAACCTGAACGATGTGGAGCTAGCTTATTTATGTGACAGCAACCAGCCCATATAGGCCTAATAATGCAAACATACCGCTAAAACAACAGGTTTTGAAGAATAATATGTCGTAGTCGCATTTGTTTAGATGTGATTAGGCAGCTTGAGGAGAGCTCATAATGTCCGCTGTGAGTAATTAGCATGAAGCTAGCCGTGCTAATGAACAGTCATGGTCGTGTTAGCTCAGGTTTAGGCCCACATCCTGCTACATTAAAGTGCGGAAACATCCCCAGTTACCCTTAAAGAAACCCGATCCATTAGTGAATTTGTTTATCTTTCGTCCGGATCGTTCTTCCTGACTTGTAGCAGCGTCCACACCGGGAAACGGTAGAGCTAGCCGTTAGCCTAGGTGGCACAGAGAAAGACCATGTGAGACTTGGCGTGAACTGATCCTGCCGCGGCGGCTTCACAGACACAATATACAGAGTTCGTTGTTTTCTGAAGTCCTCATCTGCCAAATATTGAGCTGTTTTTGTTCTTTTTCTCTGTTGTGAGCAGGCTGGTTGGGTCGTGGCTGTTGTTGCAGCAGTCCCCCCACCTTGGAGCCTCATAGCGCAGATATATTTCACAGCAGAGAGCTCCCTCTACGACTCGGCTCGGAGAGCTACAAAAATACCACAATATAAATGCAATACGGCATCTCTCCACCCTGTACCAGTGCTGTGGTACTTTGAGTCAAAGCTGTTCTTTACCAAAACCAAACTGTAGCTTCCAGACACACATCAGCGTCAAGGCTGAGGACAGTTTCAGATGAAGTCACAAACATGACAGCAGATGGATTACCTTTAGTCAGCAACAGAGGAGACACCTGTTCATTTGTGATTTATTAAAGCAGGATCCATAAGTATGTTTGGTTTGATGCTCAGCTACCACCACACCTAATTTTAGCTCAATAATTGACCAATTAGCTGAAAGCTATGTTTGTATTTGCCAACATTGTTTGGCTTTGAAAGTATCTTGGCTCCAAAATACAAAGGTGTAAACACAATGATTATGCTTTATCAACACGTCTTCTTGTAGAGATGTACCGATCGTATATCAATATCGGGTATCGGTCTGATATTAGCCAAAACACGAGTATCAGATTATATCGGCCTGCATCTAAAATTTTTGATAAGCAGTTCATTTCAGTAGTCGGCTCCAGGATTACTTTACTGCAGCGCTTCCATCCAGAATAAATAACTTAAATGACCTTGAATTGTGATTTTGCATTTTAAAAGTAAGATACCATTCCACACTACAAAATAAGTAATAAAAGTATGTAGGTTTGTTATGATATCTTATAGGGTCAATATTGTATCAGCCAATAATCAAGGCTCCAAAAGAGTTATATCGAGACACTCTTATCTTCTGATTACATGAAGCTCACTTCCTCTCTGAAACGTCTGTGCAGGGCATGGCCCATCTGTGATTCATGACTGGCCAGAGGGACATGTAGACACGTTTTTTGTCCTTTTTGCATCACACAGCATTAGAAACCATAAAACTGACAGACTTTTCTGGACTCAGCCTTCAGGTACTTTCTTGTGAGTCAAGTTAAAACAATTAGATCATAATCATACAGAGAAGTAGAGTTGTGAAGATATGGTAAAGTAGGAGCTTCAGGTTTTAGGTAGACATTAAAGTGGCTTCAATAGATTTCAGAAACCTCCTTAGAAATTTGTTGTCTCTAAAGTTTTTCATTCTGAGTGGAAGAACTTCCTGTTTCGTATGTCCAGCTGTGTAACGTTTCTCTTCCCTTTCAGGTTCAGGGACAGTCAGGTAGCAGATATTTGACTGAACTAAGCTCAGGGCTTAAGAGCAGCAAAGCAAAAGGGAGATCAGCATCATCACAACCCTACAGACTGCAAAAATCATGTTAAAAGCCAATCCCTCCTTGCTATTGAAGGTAACAGCTGTAATGTTTAGAGTCAGTAATTATACAGGCATACCATTAAAGGGGCAATATCACGTAAAATCAACTTTTTTGAGTTTTATATCATGTTATAATGTTATACTCTCATATAAAACATGCCCAAAGCCTTGCTCTGACTCATTCATGCATGTTTGAGAAATCCTGCAGCGTTTTTAGGAAGCCATGCTGAGGAGCAAAACGACAGGTGGGGACCAGAAACGCCTTTTTGGGACCAGAAACACCCCTGGGACGTGTCTTTAAGCCGAACTTCCTCATGGCAGAGCGCTCCCCCTCCCCACATACCCCGCCCATGACTCCTGCAGGCTCTCGGGTGAAACTGAAAGTGAAACTGAAACTGTCTGCTGAGCTCCTAACACTTGTTCTCACTCAGTGAAGCTCTTTTCAGATTAAAAATACCATTTGAGGAAATGTATTTTCAGATGCCAAGTAAACTGCATCATAGGCGCCCCCCCCCCCCACACACACACACACACACACACACAACTCCCCGCCCGCGCGGGCGCGACGCCCCCGCACTGAAATGGGTGAGGCAGAAGCAGAAGGTGGTTTTTAAAGAGACAGAGGCCAATTTCAAGGTGCTTAGAAGAGGAAGTGATGAGAAGATACGTTTATTTTATATTTAAACATAAAAGCAGCTTTTTAATAACAACAAAAGGCGGCATAAATACTTTATTATGGTATAGTATTTAAATGTATGCCTGAGAAACACATAATATTACCCCTTTAAATAATGAAATACAGTGTTCAATAAATTATAAGGGGAAAACCAAAACTCCAGTTGATGGGTGGGACTGTGGGACTCCATCTACACTGCACCAGCATTTTGTGAATATTCAGATGTTTCTGTATAGGGAAGTGTGTAGATTGTAGAGCTGTTAAGAATAACAGTAAGGTAAAGTTGAGTAACACAGATATGTTTTCTTTGTTCTGTTGTCTGTTGGGTAGTCATACTAAAAAACAGAGTATAGACTTGTGTTTTTTGCTTTGTTTGGTTTTTTTTTTCTGATGATTCTGCTGGATGATTAGTTAAAGTGTGTTTTGTTTCTTAACACTGTATTTCAGTTGCTGTGCAGCATGAACGGTGGGTCGGCTGATGGTGTAGAAGTGGTGGATGTCCCCACTAAAGACTTCCCAACGATTCAGGCTGTTCACAGCCAGGACCCCACGGTGGTCGATCTCCTTCAGCAAGCTGCGGAGGCCGAGGGTGTAGTGCAGACACAAGCTGGAGTCCTGTTGGAGCAAGGTTCTGTCCGACTGCATTTCATTAGTGTTGAAACAACTGAAAACTCAAAACCAACTGTCTGATTCTGTGTTTCAGGTCCTGAAGGAATGGTCACTGTGTCCCAGTCCCAGCAGGAACTGATGGAAGCTGGAGTTAGTGTGGGCGTGGGAGCGGGAGTTGAAATGGTGGTTGTGGACTCCCTAGATCCAACCCTGATGCAGGTGAAGACTGAGGTAAGCCTTCACAGAAGAACTTCCACACAGAGGCTGTACATTATAGACCAGAGATTCTTAACCCATGGAGCGCCACCTTGAGGGCCTCAAAAAAACAACAGTTTTTCACTTTGGGCCACCGGACCGCATTGATTTTGAATAAGGTGCAATACACTTTCTTGCCACTAGTAGCAGTAGTGCACCACTCAGTTGTTTAACAACTTTTTTTAATACGTAGAAGAAGAACCTTAGAAACCTGACGAAAATGGAAACCTATTTTAAATGAAAAGTAGAAGCAAAAATGAAGGTAACCCATCAAACAAAAGCCAACGTTTGTCACTAATATGAAGAGCAGCTTCTAGTTCTACCATGTAAAAGTTTAAAAATGCTATATTTTCATTTGCACTTTATCAAATTTATTTTTAATGTTTTTTTTTATTTGATACATTTGAATGTATTTATTGTTTAACCATAAATTTATTTATTGAATTGTCTATTTTTGTAATTGTTAGTAAAAAGATGTTATTTTTGTATTGATAAGCCTGAGTGGTCTGTTGACTGACCTTTGTATTTGTTAAAATAATTGTTATGGGCAGGTTACAATATAAACAAATGTTTTGTCATAATCATGTCTTGTGATTATTTGACAAGAGTTTTACTTTTAAACTGTAAGTGTATTTAATTTAGTTATAATGCAAATACAATACAAATTAAACCAAGATTTAGAATAATTATCATTTTGATCCGTATGGTAATGTGTGACTGGGCCTTGTGTCACTTCATGTTCAACAAATTGGGCCCCGAGGTCAAAAAGGTTAAGAACCCTATTATAGACAACATGTCCCACCACCTCTTGTTTTGAGTTAAAGGACCTGTCCTGTTGTGTTTTGGAACCAGAGTCTGCACACACTGGTGAAGTCCTGCCTGCTCCCCTTCATTCAGTCATGGTGTCATATGAGCTTTCTTTTAAGTGTGAAACAAATTCTACAAAAAACATGTCAGGAAAATGAATATTTGGACATGCAGCTGTGGGAATCGAGAAGAGTTTAATAACATGATCTGAGGTGTGTTTTTATATCGTAATAAGAGCAGAGTCCTGTTTGTTTGTGCGGAGGGGGCGAGCCTTAGAATTTGTACTGAAACCAACTCACAGAGAAGATTAGGTCCTTTTCCAACTACAGCCTTGGGGTTCCTGTCAGAAGCTAAAAATATAAACAGCCTTTGATCAGACATGACATCATCATCTTAAGATGGTTTAACCTGCAGTTGGAAGTACTTCCTGCTACAACGACCAATAACAGGACGTTTATCCCACAGGTACTGGATGCTGCAGTAGGCGGGTCAGCAGCTACAATGGGTTTGGTTGGAGAGGTTGCAGGAGCTGCTCATCAAGCTGCTATGGCAGCAGTGGACCAGACTCAGATCATCACCTTACAGGTAAGAGTTCAGTTCTGTTATTCCCAACTTTCAAACCTTAGTAAGTATTAGTCGTACCTCTCAGACCCCAGCTTTGACCTTTTCTCTGCTCAGGTGGTAAACATCAAAGAGCAGGCAGCCTTGGGCCTCGGGGAGCTCCAGCTGGTCCAGGTGCCTGTATCTGCCACCACTGTTGAGGCTCTGCAGCAAGGCACGTTTGTAGAGACCACCGCCATGTCCAAAGACGGAGACCCAGTCATCTGTCACACACTGCCTCTCCCTGAAGGCTTTCAGGTACACCTGCACAGAGCCGTCACACACAGTATGTAGGTGTTTCTGCACAGCACAACCCGGCCAGGGTTCAAACCCAGGTTCTGGAAACTTAGGAGCTGTGGTTCCAATCAGCTGCTAGGCCTGATTTCATGTCAACTACTGCTGCTCACTGATTGGTTTATTAACCGGGGGTTACGTCACACGTATGAGAGTAGCTTTACATGAATCACTTTCAGCAACCATACCGTTTTATTATTTTATTTACACAACTTTAACTACACAAGTGAGCTACCAAACAACAAGACCAGTTTGGGCGTCTTCTCAACTGGTCAGTAATGATTTAAAATGTTTCTGTCTGTTTTTATGAATTGTCTAATAAAAGCTTTTTGGATACCCTCAGATGTTGGTAAGGGATGTTCCTGAGCTTTATATTTTCATGATGTAAATAAAGAATCGTTGATGTTTTTAGGTGGTTAAAGTCGGCGCTAATGGGGAGGTGGAGACCGTGGAGCAGGAAAAAGGAGAAGAAGCCCACGCTGAAGTAGAGGAGGAGCTGGAGGACGTGGGAAGCCAGCTGCTGGAAGAAGAAGAAGAAGAAGAAGATGTGGGCGAGCCGCTAAATGATGAATCAAACTGGGGCAAAGACCCAGAATATCAGCCTCCTTCAGGAGTGGTCAAAAAACCAAAAAAGGTAACGTCAAAGTTTCAGGTTTTGGAGGTGGGTTTAGATAGTTCTGTGCAGTTTGACTGAACCTGCTGCTCGTCCAGGGTAAGAAGAGTCGTCTGCGTTATACTGAAGGGGATAAGGACATGGATGTCAGTGTCTATGATTTTGAAGAGGAACAGCAGGAGGGTCTTTTGTCTGAGGTTAACGCAGAGAAGGTTGTTGGAAACATGAAGCCGCCCAAACCTACCAAGATCAAGAAGAAAGGTAAGACAGCATGAAACAAAGTAGTTTGTTAATTATGTCTTGGTTGGGATGATATAATACAGGCAATATTCCTTTGGATAATATTCCAAAACAGTTTCTGTATAAATACAGAAGAACAAAGAAAATCATTTACTCCATGTGATTTTACTGTGTGGTGCAGAAAAGTTCAATCATTTCTTTGACACAAGAAATAAAAGTAATTTTTATGTTACTCAACTTTTAACCGTATGAAAAAGAAAAAATAAGTAGGTCCTCTGGATGGGTTCTTCTTTAGTGAAACATTTCATCTCTCCTCCAAGAGACTTCTTCAGTCTGATGAGTTTCAGGTGAGCCTTGTAAGCACTGCCTCCACATGGTGGACAAACAGGTTAGTCACATGCAAAAGAGGGTCATCACCTAACAATAGGCTTGATTAGCTCTATCGTTCATAGAGGGTCATGTGGCCCATCACCTGACTTACTGGTTTGGATGCTGTGGTTATTTGGTGTTGTGTTATGTGTATGTAGTGAGTGCAAACGGGGCTCAATGTCCCCTTGTTTTTGTCTCTCTTTCCCTCTATGTGTTGGTATCATTGGGACCCTGATTCACACCTTTTGCTCACAGGGGGCTGAGTCATACTTGCAATAACATCATTGTAGGAGGAGGACAAAATGAACGTTGAGCCCCACTTGCACTCACTACATGCACATAACACGACACCAAAAAACCACAGCCGAAGCATCAAAACCAATAAGTCAGGTGATGGGCCACATGAACCTCTATGAACAATAGAGCTAATCAAGCCTATTGTTAGGCGATGGCCCTCTTTTGCATGTGACTAACCTGTTTGTCCAGGTGGAGGCAGTGCTTATAAGGCTGAGTTCACCTGAAACTCATCAGACTGAAGAAGTCTCTTGGAGGAGAGAGGAAACGTTTCACTAAAGAAGAACCCATCCAGAGGACCTACTTATTTTTTCTTTTTGATTTTTTTCTACCTGGATTACTGAGATGCACCAGGACATGTAACCGTATGATTTGAAAAAAAATCAGCTTTTCAGTTAGGAGACTGAAACAATCTGTTTATATTAAAAAAGGTGAGATTAAACTGTGCGATAATCACCTTTTTACTCTGAACTTGCTTGGAGTTTATGTAGTTCTGATTTTCATTTTATTTTCAACTATTCAGAAGAAAAGCTTGGTTAAGTTTTCAAATGAACCTTAGTGGATATTAGGTGTAATAAAACTGAAAAAAGTTGCTATGAAAGCTTACTATGGGCCTCTTAACATGCATAATTTAGTTTCTCTGGTTAATTTAAAGCACAAGCAGACTACAATAGATAAACTACTTATTAAAGTCAACAAGGAATATTTGATTATTAAAGTTGGATGTTTGTTGGATGTTTTGCTGCAGAGTCAGAGTATCCTACAGTATTGTGGTTGTCTGTTGCATATTAGGAGTAAAGAAGACGTTTCAGTGTGAGCTCTGCAGCTACACGTGTCCTCGTCGCTCCAACCTGGACCGGCACATGAAGAGCCACACCGACGAGAGACCTCACAAGTGTCACCTGTGTGGAAGAGCCTTCAGGACAGTGACTCTGCTGCGAAACCACCTCAACACACACACAGGTACACTGTGGTCCTATAATGTCATAAATATAAACTGCAGTTGGCTGCTGCGCTTTGCTTTTTGGGTTATATTTTACTGATGTAGGTCCGAACAGGTGAGTTAGTGTGAAGGAATGTTGTTTTGTAGTTCTCCTACATAAATCATCTTTTAGAGACCTGCGTTTTTATAAGTCTTGGATTTTGGAACACAACAAAAGAGATAAAATGATGTATAATTACAGGTTTTAGAAATATCCCACAAGTTTTGTTTCTTGGTCAAAATAGTTATGTCTATTCTTTTCTTTTTGTTGGCCAAACACATTTAGTTCAGGCTCCTCCATGCCTCTAATATGCTGTAGTCTTATACCATTCCCACAAACCTCACTTGTTTGAGCCTCACTACTTCCAACTGGAGCAGGAGTGTCAAACTCATTTTTACCGAGGCTCACATGAGCATTGTGGTTGTAATTAACGTCCACGTTTCAGGTTTAACTTTGAAAACGTCACATTCCTCGTCTCATTGTTCCTGCATAGAAACACAGTTTCACACGTCCTCTTATGAACACGGTTGACTAAATTTTAAATAAATAATACAGAAATACTATTAAAAATGAATGTAAGAGAGTTTTACTCACTGCTCGGTTGGGGTAAGTTTTGAATTCTGAACTCTCCCACTTTCCAACAGGGAATTCCCATGTATCCCATGTATAATCAACATGCATTATGGGAGATGTAGTTTGTGGTCAATGCTGGTTTTAAAGCAGCTTATTTTGAGACATTAATACAGGGCTGTTCAACTAAATTGTTTAAGGGACCATGTTAGTCAAAGCCAACAGCCTCACTGCCTGACAGGTAGTATTATCTTTCATCTTTTAAATGTGTTTATTTTGTTGCGTTGTATAGGCCTGTCACGATAACAAATTTTGCTGGGCGATTAATTGTCTCATAATTTATTGCGATAACCGATAATATTGCCTGGTGACCGTTTTACAACTAATAATTATAAAAGC